GCCTTTATAACAGTTATAACAGTTAAATTTAGAAACGAAAATCGAACCGAACTCAAACAATACTAAATTTGATTAAAGTATATGATGAGTGTATTTATGTGCGTGTGTGTCGGTATAAAGAGTATTTATTCATTCATTTGCTAAAGAGAACAATTGATCACAGCCCATACATACTTGGTAATAGACAGTCTATTTTCTTCTAAATCTTCTGATGTACGAAACCCAATAACGACCCATTTGTAATAAATAAACATTTGATACAAACACTTTGTATTTGTTGCTGAAATTGCATTCTAAATCTTTGTACGTGCTTATTTACGTGCGCATATAGAAATGAATGCCTTTATACTGACGCGTTGGTCTGTGAGTTTGTGTTTTTCTACAAGCAATAATAAAAAACGGTTTTTTTTCTATGAGCTTTGCACGCGTACAAATATGTGCGTGCATTGCATTTATCAATTGTTCCTTAATATACGAGTGGAGACAATCTTGGGAGAATATAATACAAACTGTATTCAGGCCGTATATAATGCAAACAAACAATTTCTAAGCCTCAAGATAGCAACATACATGCATACACGGCACACGCATCGTTACGCCATTGTAGACATTATGTTTTTTCCGCCGAAATGGTAGAATTACGCTCTATAATTAATTACTGTTATCTTGTTATATTTGTTATCGTCGCACTTTGTCATTGATTGTAAATTATAGAATCTTTTCATACCATAGAGGATTGTAAAACTCTACCGTAGAAGCTATATAAGGGGTTACGAATAGCGAAGTTAATAGCGAGGTTTAAAGCGAAGTTGAAATTGAGATGTATGTATTATAGTTACTTGGATTAGTTTAGTGTTTTTATAACTGTTGGCATTTGAATGAACGTTCAACCAAGTTTTTGTTTGAAGCAGTTGGGTTCGTCTGTTAGAAATCTTGAACATAGTTATTAATGATAATCTGACAATCGTTGGAAGCTACAACACTGGTGCTGAAAATATAGATCTTTGTTGGCAATAACAAGCGTTCAAATTATTACAACAATTATATTAACACTTTTACATAACAAATTAATTATCACAATTTCCATTATTACTAAGAATGTTTAAATTCAATTTGAAATAGAAACCAAAAAAACGCAGAACGGACCAGCAAATACGCAACAAAAAATAGTTGGTCGAATGGAGAGTAGAACCTCAAGTGCGTGAGATGTACATGCTACGAAATAAAACAAAACACAAATCTTTCGCCTCGGAAAATAAGTGAAGAAATAAATGATCCCCGAGCAAAAGGCATGCAGGTTAACAAACCATGCTGGCCGGCCGCGAGTTCGTCCGAATGTTCTCTTCGCAAAATTTTTGCCAACATTATTTATGATTAACCGCAAATATTTAACGCAGAGCTTATAACAACAACAAAACCGATAAAATTCCTAAATATATTTTGAATGACATTGTCATTCTTTTGACCTGAATAAAATTGATAAACATTATTGCCAAATTGAAACATAGAATAACTTGTTTTTATTCAATGGAGTGAGAAGCACGTTTTAAAATTTTTCAACGTTCTTTGAATTTGCGATTTTTATTTAAAATATCATTTCGGGGGAAATTACTAATATAGTGCGATTATTAAATGAAAAACATTTGCACACGTAAAACCTTGTAAAGATAATGAACACTAGAATATAATGTATACATTTTAGAATGCAATCTTTAAATGGTTTCTGCAAAGTAGCGTTTTAATCTTAAGCACTACGATTTATTTTTGCCATAAAAATTATTTATCAAACTACAATCAGTAACATTTTTTGTAGTTATATGTATTAGTTTACTATCAAATTAAAATAAAAATATTACCATAAAAAAAATTTCCATCTGTTTCATCCAAATTATAATAACTTTATAAATTTGTATTTAAAGGCTGATGGTGCGTCATCTTCAACATACGCGTCGTACCCCGCTTAAGTGCCTCTGCGTGGTGATGAGTGGAGATCTGTGTCAACTCGACTTAACCACAGGAACGTGGGTGACGTTGCTGCTTGCAACTATTGCCCGGTTTAACGCTCATTATTATCTCATTCCGAATAATAAGTTCTAGCAGATGACTTTAGCGTGAACAGTTGTAAGCACTGATTTATGATAGGCGGCTTTCAATACGTCATTTCATAAAAAAAAAATATTTGGATTTAATGACTTTTAAAATAAATAATTGTTCTTATCGAAATTGGTTTGAACTTTTAAACAAAAGTTGTGAATCGTTTATAATTCATAATAATCAAATACAACCAAAAAACAATTTTCTCGATTTTTTTTATTTGTTTAAAATCTATTTTCATGGCCATTATACAGCGTTTGTAAAAGTACTTGTACCATTTATTTAACAAATTTTTTGTTTAAAAAGACATATTTAAGTTCGAGCAATAGCATCTGCCTTAACAAAATGTTTACCTCGGAAAATTAAATAATAAAAAATGTGAAACATGGCGATGATCAACAATGAGATGTTTTAACGTTAATAAAGTTATAAAAACTAACGCTCGCAAATTTGAAGTAGTGATGGTGACAACGATAGCAATAACATTAAACCTATTGACGCTTTGCCAGAACAATAAAACTAGCATCCAAAAATATAGCAAAGATATTATCAACGATAAATTCTCCGCCGTTAAAAATAGTCAGCAACTAAAACGTCAGCACTGAGCGATCAAATCTTCATCCGAAGCTTTGATTGCAGCTTGCTTGTCCTCGTCTGATTTTTGGGACGTTGGAATTTTTCAATTAGGTACAACAAGAGTATTTAGTCCATAAATGAGTATTGCATTTTTTTCATTTTTATTATTTTAATATTTGAAATTAACTTTTCAACCTATTTAAGTGTTGAGTCGATTCTACCATTCTTGAAGCCAAGGTTCACAGTGAGTGTTTTTGTTATTTGTGTGAGCTTTTTCGGCAATTATTTTGATTCACATCAGCATTATGTCTACATCTTTTGACTTTAAAAGTTATATTTTTCAAGTTTTACTTTATTTTCGGTTCAATATCTGATTGTGCAATGAGAAACGTCATTACAGATGCAAACATTGAAAATTGAAATTTTCTGTACCGATATAATCGGTATGGAAAATTTTCAATAATTTCTCAAAGCCAAGGTAATTTCAAGAAGTTCAAATAATTTTTTGATAGTTTCTTGCTCATTCAGTTATTTTTTGACAAATTTTTGGTAATTCGATATTTGTTGATGTTTCAAGTTGGTTCACAGCAGGAAATTTTCTTTATCGTACTTAATAACTTCCACTTATTTACGCATAATATAAGCATAACATATTTTTAAAGCGATCAAACATACGAAACATACCCTCACACACACACACACACACAAACACACACAACACACCCTCACATATCTGCATACAAAAGTTTTTAGTAACGTCAGTACATTTTGTATCAAATCATTTACACAATACGTTCAGAAATGTCACAAAAAGCACTTTATATAATAAAATTAGGAACAATCTCATTCATCTTGCGTGAAAGACGCACGTACAAGGGTCTTTCAGAACACGATTATGGTGATAAAAAGGTGATAAAATAAATTAAAATGTTTGCACATCGTAGAACAAACATTGAATGCAAAGAGCTGGTGTGATGCTTACTCTATCCCACTTAATCGTCAGTTTGGGCGGCGCCATGGTGTAATGGTTAAGATGCCTGGCGTTCCTGATGCAGTGTCCGTGTTCGAATGTGAGGAGATCCCCGCCTGTCACATGCGAAAGTGGGTGATGCGTTGATTCACGTGTATTTGTATGCACCGTGTGTTTTTGTTGTAATAATATTAATGCGCTCAGTCGCTTGCCGTGGCGCAATATAAAATGAAATTTTTATTATTATTCATAATATTATAATTAAATTATTTATTCAAACACCCGTCGTTCCATCTTTGAGTTGTCAGGGCCCTCTCCCTCTCTACACATTTCCTATGCACCAACTAACACTTTAATGTCAAACATTTTTATTCAGTGCTAAAATCTTAAGTGGTAAATTTATAAAATGTGTCAATTAGTTATTTTACATTTTGATTTAACTTGGTACGATTATTTAAATTGTTTCAATTGCTACATTTAATTTTTAAAAACAATAGTAGAAATGTTGTTGTGTTGTTAATTTTTTTAAAAAGTGCCAACAACTGTAAAGTATTAGCGCTTGATGTTAATATTTTAAATATTCAACGATTCCATCTAACTGAATGTTAGAAGTTCACTAAAGACCATTAACTGGAAATTATCCATTTTAACAATTTTTTCAATTATTAAATCCACCAGTGAAGTTGCAATTATTTTACTTTTAACATATTAAAAAAAATATTGTTTAATAGGAAAACAAAATTTTAGATCGAATCCCACCATTGAAATACAAAAGATTTTTTGGCTTTTCATATTTATATGCCTTTAATCAAATTTTTTTCTGATCATGCAAAATTTTCTGCTCCATTAACTTGACAAACGTGCGTATGGAAACAACATCGGTCTGACAACAACAGACATCCGGTAGGTAACCCTTGAAACATCTATTATAGAAAAACAGCAGCATGTGATCTAGAGTAAGCATTAAAAGTACATTAAAAGATGATTTCAATATTTAAAAATTTTTTTGTTTCTGCCTTATAAAATTGTACTAGAAAATAGCTTTCATTTCGATTGTGTATATACAAGCCAGGTTAGTTGTAATCATTTGAAGCAAGCACCAGCACATTGAGCTCCACTCCTACTTCATCAGTCGAATCCTTTTGCAAATGATGCAAATAAAACAAATTGTTTAGATTAAAATAAACAGACTTTTCTCACTGAACTGCAGGCTGAATTTAATTTTTCAACTCAAAACAAAAGCCATGAACAATATTATGACATTAGTTTTGTGTGCATAATGGAAGGATAAAAATATTTTAAGTTTTGTAAAACTTTGAATAATCAATTTATTTATGAACTATCGGTGGAATTTATTGATTCGAAGCAAATTGTTTGAGACAGACCAGCATGCAGAGGCACGTGGCCAGCATCCTGCGAGTGTTTGCTTGCATGGCTCACGTGGGCAAACATGCAACCCTCACTCACGTTACTGTATGGAAATATTTGCAGTTTTCATCTTTCATCAAAATTTATCTCTTCTCAAATTAAAATATTACGCCGTTGGTATATTTGTATGAAATTAAAAATTGCATTTCTTGAACATTTCTTTTTTTCAAATTCGAACATTAAAAATTTAAGAACGGTTTCATAGTTTTTCCAAATGAAATTTGTTTTGGGCACTTTTCGTTTAAAAGTTCAACAGGCTTTAAATTTATAGCTTAGTTGTTAACGAAACAAGTATCGAAATAATTTTTCGATTTGAAAATGAAATCTAAAGTTGCATCAGAGTTGTGAGCTGAGCCTTCAAATAAACATTCGAACTGTTTTTCAATGCAAACCGAAGTAATTAATATGAGACCATCAAAAAGTATACCTGACATGACTCGCATCAAACATGAATCTGCACTCGTACGACCTCCTATTTAAAAAAAAATTTAAGATGTGGAAGAATTTGAAACCGAAATGAGCAGACGTAACTGAAAAAGAATTAAAAGCCTATTTTGTTATTGTAAAACCTTCTTCATTTTTCATATAAGGTTTATTCCTTGACAATTTTCTCAGCAGACTTGATTGCGCCACTGCATTGGCGGGAAGGTGGACTGCAAGCTGGTCGTAACGCTGTGCATCATTCTACAAACCTGCCTTCAATAAGACAACGCGTGTAGTGTGCATAATAATTTTGTCAGCGAGTTAGCTCTTCAAATTTTTTTTCTAGAAATAATTAACTAATTCTTGTTTTTTTATCATTGTTGCATACAAGTGTTTTGTTATTAGGTGCATATTAATTTCGTTTCGTTATAAATTAATAGCGATAGGACACACATCCTTGACTAATGTGTATTTATCTTAATTTGCTACTCATTTTTGACTAAATTTGTGTCCGTTTAGTTATGATAGTTTAGTTTAGTTCTTTGCAATAAAAACTTTTTTGTTTTCTGCGGTGTTGTTGATGCGGTGACGTGTGCATGAATGCAGCAGACATTCATCATCCGTCGTTGCCACGCAGATGTGGCAGAAGGAATGCACTGTCATGTGCACCTTCCTTCACCCTATCTTCGCTTTGAATTAAAAACAAATTCTAAATTTTTGCACTTCTTGACAATTGATAGTCCCCCCACTAAAAAAATGTGTCATACGTTTCGTAACATGATGAAATTTCGAGAAGAAAACTAATGAATAAATTAATATTTGTGACTGTTAGATGATATTCTCTTTTACTTATTTTTGTCACCACAACTTATTATCCGTTTTTTGGTATTTTTAAATTAATTTATTTTAATCCATGAAACTTACTTAGCAACAAACATTTATAAACAGTTTTTAGTAGTCATCTTAGAGCAATCTAAAACATGAAACTCATTTTTTTCTTTTTTGAAGCTGTAAATTTACTTATGAAAATGCCACAATTTGTTTTTTAAAATGTTTTGTTGTAATGATTGAACAAAATTACAGTAAGTTGCAGTCGGTTGAATCTGGGAGGTTATCATCGCCAACAAAATAACAAACGATAATGTCATTGTTTATGGAAAGACATGGCACATGTACAAATACAGAAACATCCTTCGTTACAAACCCATCTTCACTGCTGCACATTTATAAATATTCAGTTTAGGTGAAAAATTGCGGATGATTTGATATAATAAAAAAATAATTACTCTTGCCACTCTTATAAAACACATGCAGAAGAACAAAGAAAGCAGTAAAAATACCTCGCCATGGCGAGTCGGTGAGTCGATATATTTAAATTAAAGGATGAAAAACACATCAATACGGCATTAATAATAATTTATTCTACGTACATGCATTATCTGCATTGTATGCACGTATGCATCATGCTGGCAAGTTATGCAATGTAAGATTTTTTGCACAGCAGTGCGAGGAGTATTGAACGTGTTTCCTACATTTGTACACGTGTAAATTTTGGCTGAGGCATATTTATGAGGTGCTTCTGTATGGTCAGTTAATGAGCTTATGTGAGTTTTGAACATGAAAATATGCCTTCTGCTTCATATGCACCAATAAAATGTGAAGCCAACTTTTATGAAAAATGTCTCTAATCTTGTTTACGTGTTGGTCTGCTGTTGTGCTTTGTTGTGTTCCGTGTTAACCAGTTTTCAAAATATGCTGTAGTAGAAGTAAAATTATTAAAACTGCTTTCAAATTATTCAAATTATCCAGTTACGCTTCATGGTGTGCAAATTAGTTCACCGTCAATTTCACTAAATAAATCATTAATTTCTAATTATTATATGACATTTAAATTTGGAAAATATCAACCTGAAATTTGAAATATGAACTTAAGATTAAATGCAAATGTTAAAGTGGATGACACCAATGAAGCCAATCAGTACGTGGACACTCCAATGAGGAACAAAAGTTTCTTAATCAAGTCTGCATTAAATTATTGTTGAACCAATACTGCATTTTTTGAGAGCTCACTTATTTATTCCATGCTCCATCGTCACCATCATGTGTCAGTGATATTGTTCTTCATTATGCAGTTCTGACAACCGCAGCACTGCTTGCATATTGTAATGGTTTCAACTCTCGTGTCGCAAACTCCACCATCACCACACGACATCCACGCATGGTTCGTCTACTTTGAAAGCATGTGCTAGCACCGCATCACGAGTGCACGGCCTATAATATTCTTTGAGTTTTGGACAGATAGTGTTCGAACCTGGTCACTGCGCAATTGCAAGTGTAGTTATCAAAACTTACTATATCAATGTCGTTACGGAATTTTCAAACTGCTCAGAACATGGAGTGAAACTTGAGCAACATTTCATGGAGGCACACCAAGATGGCGGTGCGTAATGATAGCTAACTTGACGACAGCACTAAAATTTTGTTGCTCCATAAAGAATGGAAACTGTTTATAACACTGAGAAGGTACTTATCGCTTCTATATCACTCACTTTCTGGCAGCCGGTTAGATCGATGGCGCATCTTATTGTCTATTATGTTTTCATGGACGGTTGCATCAGCGTGCTGTGCAAGATTGTAAAGACATACTTGTGCTTTGGGATTGCTAATTTGATTCATTTTAATTTGAATTTTATTTGACAAATAAATTTTTTTAATTTAAGCGTAATGTAGGATCAATTATTTTTTTATGTGCTATACTCAGACATCACCTCATTATCGCAACTGCTGCTAATAACTGTTGAACGAATTCTTGTATTGCTGAAATATTTTAAAGTGCTCATTAAATTTGTCTACGAATTTTAATAAGGAAAAAACAAAAAAAGATAAAAAACACTCGACAAAAATGAATAGGGAAGAACCGTTTTTAAATAGAAAAGTATACCTAGCGCGTACGTAAATAATAAGTGTATGAAATTATCAACATTAAAAATGAAACTACTGCTTATACTCACTGGCAGCATGCTCACTGCCGACCTTAGGAGGAGGCGAGGGTGCCCGGTAACCGGGAGTGCCAATGTTGTCTGCAAAAGAAACACTGATTGTTTTTTTATAATAAAAATAAATTGAAAATAGATTTAGTTAAACTTATATCTATTTTTAACATGAATAAGCTATTCCTGGAAATTAATTTATTTTTCATACTAGTAATTTGTTAAAAATACTCTAATCAAAAAATTATAAATTTTATCATAATTTTTTCAAACGATTTTAATTAAAATTTATTTTGTGCGCCTGTATTCTTCATGGCGCCACATATTTTTTATGCTTCACCTAAACTCATTTATGATTTTGGTACGTTTTGCGATATTTTTTCGCGCGTAATTGTTTATTGGTTAAATATTATTATTATTTATTATTATTTATTTATTATTATTATTGGTTAAATATTATTATTACTATTTATCATTATTATTTATTTATTAATATTATTGGTTAAATATTGATAATTTACGATTTAGTTACTTATGATATGACACTCGCTGGGGATCCAAAATTGATCGAAGGTCTCAAAGCAACCCGATACAAAAAAATAGCGTGTATGATGCATCAATTACTACACCTGAAGCTGATACCAAAACTCCTGACATTGCACACAAAGCTCTTACATTAGTAGAACAATTAAAAGATTATAGTTTCCTAATTTCTTTAATTGCGAGTGTTTTAATATGTTTGTTTCCATGGGTACGTTGGTGAATGATAGCATTTACAAAAGTCTATAAAAAATGAGATTGAGATATTAATTTAAATATCGTTCAATTTAAGACAATTTAATAAGCTATTGAAAGAGATGCAAGCTAACAAGTGGCTTCGGTTCCAATCGGGTTTATGCCAGCATGAGGTTATTAGTCAGTTTTAAAAGAACTTATTGTACTAAAAGCACGTGGTTCACAAGAAAGTATAGGCTACATGTACAAAACCACTAGTGAAGAGCAATGAAAAATAAAGCAAGTAGAAAGCGTTATTAGATTTTTTAACAATTTGTAGCTCCAAATATTTAAAAAAGTATAACCAAAGTGTTTTAACGAAAAAATCATTTTTAAGTTGCAAAGAAATCATTCACTTTACATTTATTTCTACTTTCACTTATACTTCCACTTAAGCTTTTACTAAAGTAGAACAAATCGTTTTTTCTCTCATTTTTTCTCAAGTAAAATAACACTGTTAATGATCAGCGGTTGATAAATTTATTTGCCATTGCGCACATAATTTTCTGAAACATTTTTCAAACCTATAAAAGCCGTTATGTGTCTTATGTCCATAATTTGAAAGATTTTAAGATTTTAAGTACTTTAGTTAGTATTGTCGGAAATTTAAACTGAAAGTGAGGCAATCTCCTCCTCTATCTTTCTCAGGGAATTTTTTTTTATGGTCCGACAATAATTTTTTTGTATATTTTTATCGTGAGTTCGACCAGTCCTGTGTGGCACTGGGCTTTTTCGAATTATATGATTTTACTGAGTAACACACGAATGCGTAAAATATTCGATAACAATTTTATTAATCGACGGAAGTAAATGGAAAGGAATTGAACTAACTGAACTCTAGAATAATGTTAAAAATAATGTCAATAAACAAACTGGAATACAGGAATTAGAACTTCTTTTTGTTGGGTCGGGCAACTTGGAATATGTTTCTTGCCGTTCAATTGTACAACCTCGACGTGTGTGACCGATGGTGGTGTCGATACAACTCCGAGAGATAAATAAAATGAATGCAGAAAAATTACAATCGAAAAATCGGAGCCTATGGAAATTCCAAGCTGTGTGCGAAACTATACCAATGAGTGTAGAATCCAGCAAAAAACCCTAGGTCCACAAATAGCACAACAAAACAACAAGGCGGATTCTTTTTCACAGAATCCAAGGCCTGTTTTCACTGGGCCTGTCAGTCAGTCGGTTGGCTTTCGCACAACCTTGGCCTGTTTTCACTGGGCCGTCGAGTCTGGTTGGCTTTCGCACAACCAAGGGCCTGTTTTCACTGGGCCTGTCAGTCTGTCGGTCGGCTTTCGCACAACCAAGGGCCTGTTTTCACTGGGTCGTCGAGTATGGTGG